AAAAAAAAAAATTATATGGAATTACTTATATATAAACTATAATTTTTATATCTTGTATGTATTGCCATTGATTATAAATAGGTATCCAAGTATTACCTGTATACAAGGCAATTTCTTATACTTGTAAGTCTTTGAGGTGGCCTATGCAAGGACATTTTGAGCGATTTTACAAAGATAGAATATTGTTAATATTCCAACGTTAGAGCATAAAATGTCATGGTATACAAAGACGAAATTCTGTAAAAATATTTAAACAGTTTTGTATACAAAACACATTATGTGAATATGCGTGTGTTTGACAGCCAGTATAGTTATATTCAGCAATAATAATAATACAATAATGTTAGATGTTCACTTTTATAACTATAATAACCATATTATATAGACAGGAATCCGACAGTATTCATTTAATATGTGATGGAGGGGCAGGTCAAAATTTTAAAATACAGACTCCAAAAACATATTTTTTACTTGAAAAACATATACATATTTACAAATTCCATAAAAAAGCAATATACCTATAACAAAAATATATACTTTTTTCAGTTTAATAACTTTATTAATGTGTATCGGTATCAGCATCTGAGTTGTACATGAGCCATTCTATTGATACCTTTATGTTGACCTAATTTTTTCCAAAATTCTGATTCGATCAATTTGTACAAGGTTCCTCATAAGTTGAACTCGTAACTGTATAAAAAATTGAAAATACGGCATGATCGTTGGTTAAAATTGTATTTTCAAACGCATTTGAAATTAAAATTGTCCCTCTCACCGACAGCCGTTCTTTTGTACGCATTGTAGGTATACTATACAAATACAATGAATTATTATATCTACTTGCCCAAGTGGTTCTTAGGTTCGACGGTTTTTACAAACAATCTATGGATGTCTGGCGTACCTAATCTTCAGTACCTATTTAAGTTAAGAACATTATCTGTGTTTGTAAGTTCTTTGCCATGGTTTTTTGCGACATTTCAATTTTTAAGCAAACACAGATAATGATGTAGGTATAAGTTACCTATAGGCACTTAACTTTAAGTTTGATAATTGGGCAATACACTTCAATATTAAAGCTAACAAAACATGAATGGTTACTTAATACTTTGATTGCAAATTTGCCATGCTGCTCGTGGGTCAGACTCGGTCAGGGAGAAGACAACATTTAAAGTGCTCTGACATCCGCTCAAATATTATTTCGAGATTTAAATGATCATACTCGTGTTAATGTAAATCATATATTTTACACTTGCTCCACTAACGCTGATATTACACATATAGCTAGGTACATATTATATTGAAAAAAACAATATAATTTGTGATAGGTTTGAGACTTGTCTATTGTACATTTGTATACTTTTTACCTATGGCTGTGAATTCCACATACACGATGATGATATATGTAATATTTCGATTATATTATATACATTTATACTAAAAATAACACTGTCGGCTGTCGGTGTTGGCCGTCGGGCATTATATAGCCATACTTACTGCCATAGTGTGTCAATGACGCAGACAACCGTAAGGCGACAATATAGGCACCTCCGTCCTAAAATACTCCGAGTAGGCGTAAAAAAACGAAGGCTAGTTTTCTCTAAATATAAAAACATTACAAGTTTACAGTGTAAAAATGTGTTGTGTGTGTACGGTTTACACGTGTGTAATGTAATTTTGTGTCCTGTGTTGAAAACCTTGTATAAAAAAGTAAATATACTGTTTGATGAACAAAAAAAACTGAAAGACTTCAATTATCTCGTGACACGAGTTGTTTGCTCACGATTCGGCTGAAATGTCGCACAGATAAATTGTATGAGTATTTAAAATTGTTTAAGATGAGGTATCCAACATACGAATCTACAGATTCTAGGTACCTATAATTAAAAAATATTCAAGATAAAATATTATAGGAATCATATGTTCACGCTTAATAAATATACGTTTACTCTTTGTTACAAAACACAATATTGTTGGCCTCAACAAATTTAAAACGAAAGTAAAATATTATAGGTCTCAAAATTAAATCATTATGCCGTTAGCCAAGAGCCTCTATTTTGTTTGGCAGACGACCCGATTGGGATGCGTGTGTTATAATATGAATAATGTGGACATAATGATATGAGTAACCTGTTTATGTTACGCTTTGCACTTAATTTGTGAAATTGCAGCTGAATTCGATGAATGGAAAATCGCTGAATATGCGAAATCAGTATTCCGAAGGGTATCACTACACTGCCGAACTCTTGAGTTAGCAAGGCTCACCGTAAAAAAAAAAATTACGAAAATTTTAAGTGGTTTTCTTTATATACATATTTAGTTGTACTCACAATCATACTTCAAATAAATGCAGATACAATAATCAAATCGAGGTGGATTGTGGATCATTAAATGAAATGTATAATATGTACCTTCATTATTGTAATTAACTTAACGTTTAAATTATATATATGTTCATAGTCATTACTTACATACCTTAGAATGATTTGATCTCTTCAGGTGTTAGGTATATCCTTACAACGTTCAAAAGCTAAAAAATAGACTAAATACCTATTTTCAAAATTAATATTGTTCATATAAACAATTTTAATCCAAGTAATGGTTTAGTATACCTACGTGTTGTATCTATTGGCTTTATTAGTTTTATGAATTTTTAACTAGAAAATAATTTTCAAATTTTTGTGACTGATGTACTTTAATAAAATTTTACTTTGAAGTGTTTTAGCACTTATACAGAAATTGTAATAATATACCTGATTTATATGCATATTTTGAATGACATTACGAAAAACATACGACAAACCTTATTTATTAAAAATTCCATTTTTTTTTACCTCAAGTTATCTTATTTTTTATCAAAATGTATAGAAAATAAACTAATTAAAGTTGATAATTTCAAATGTCTATAAACAGCTCAACAATAATCAAAATAGATATTTATACAATTATTCCACTTTGAGAAATACCAATATAAATATTTAGTGAACATTTCAAGTACCTAAATAGGTTAATAGGTATCATTATTCGTTTTTAAATCATTACAAAACATCAACATTTATTTTGTAATTATTGGTGTTGCGTTTTATTGGTTTTTACCGATTGATAAGAAAGGTACTGGGATATTTTTTACTTTTACCATCTCAAAGTATAAATTAGATCTAATTTGCTACCATAAAACAAACTTATCAATTGTTTCATTATAAAGACTGGTGGCAGAAGTGCCATAAAACAATTTAAATACCCTCTTATCGCTCCGCTCAGAACTTAAGTCTAAGCTTATCGTCTGCATTAAAATTTTAATTAAAGTGTTGTTAGTAAAATTGAAATGTGATTACAATTTTTAGAAGAAAAAATAATAACAAATTATAGATACCTGTAATACCTACTTATATTGCCTATTATTGGCTACCTACCTACTTATAGTTATTACTTTTTTTTTATATTATACCTATTACAACAATTAAGTAGTTAGGTACACTGAGAAATAATTTGATTTTGTTGCTCATACATAGGTATCAACTACCTATACCTACCATGTCAAGTATTTAAGTAGAATCAGGATTTATTAAGAATAGGCTATGTCTATATTTATACATGATAAAATAATATGGTTATATTAAGATTGTTTTTTTTTGGCAATTAATCTATTTTTAAATAATGGAGTGCTATACTGCAATATCTACTACACCGAGATTAGGTACATTTTTATACAATTAAGATGACCTAAAAAATGAATTGTTTATCAAGCATATGATTATAGTAGAGTGATTAGTATTCTGTAGTAGCGATATGCCGATTTCAGGACTTACCAAGTAGGTACTCGTAAAACTATATTACGAAGTCTGATTATTTAATTGGCAGAAAACACACTACATAATTACCGTTAATATTTTATTGGTTTCATTTTTCTTTTCAAATTCTATTTTTGATTTTTCCATTTGGATTCTATTTCGTCTCGATTGTTTTATTACCTACCACGAGAACGGCGTCTCGGCGGATCCGCGAGATGGCGGCTTCACTTGCTGCACGTCCGCTTCCGCTAGCCGCCGGACACGCAGCGCCGACGAGACGGGCGGCGTCTCGATCTCGACTTCGGTGCAGGCCACGGGCGTCATTGTTGCCGAGTTGATCGATGAAATTTAATCAAGGAATTTAGAACTGATATAATTTGCCTCGACCATTTCGGTGGGCCCACTTATAACGATCCGACCAGGCACGGATCCAGCTTACATTAACGGGAGGGTCGGATTATAAATGTCTAAATATATTTACTATTTACCTGCTGGCAAATAAGAGTATATATTTATATTATAAGTATGCAATAATTGCTTATTAATTATAATGAATAATTTTTTTTCTCAAGTTGAATTGAATGCCTTTATTGAATTATTTACCCTCAATCGGTCGTATAATATTGTTATTAAAATAAAATACGACGATTTGTGGCTGAATAACATTACAATACATTTGCATAGGATAACACGAAATTTTAAATTTAAATAATACGGCCAACGGGGGGGGGGGGGGAAGGGTTCTAACCATCCCCGACTGAATCCACGCCTGGATCCGACCGAGACCGTTTGCATCGCGTCACCGACAGACGTTGAATCGATCGACATCGGATACATCATCCTCAAAAGTCCTCTGCACCTCGATGTTAGGCATACAACTGTATCGGATCCGTCGAAACAGGAAATCGGAATAACAATCCCAGAGAAAAAAATTCTCCAGGAATAAAATCCCCCGACCCTAAGAAAAAAAATTCCCCAGACTACAATATTATTCACAAACACATGTACGTTATTGAAACAAATATTTTTTTAAACTTTAAGAGGACGTAATACTGGTATTTGTTGTCTCCGTCATACCAGTGCGTAATATAGCAAATTTACGCTCAGCAGAATACTGGGAATACTTTAGTTTAAAAATTAGAGTGAATTGATCTATTTTGGAACTTGATGGTAAGAACATCATCTGTGTTTGTAAGTTGGTTTTTTACGATAATTTAATTTTTTGGCAAGTTATATGCATTAATATACGGTAAAATAAAAATGGTCATAATTCACTTAAAAATTGAATTATCGCAAAAAACCAACTTACAAACACAGATAATGTTCTTACCATCAAGTTTCATAATAGGTCGAATCACTAATTTGTAAGCTAAAGGAGCAACAAGTATTCTGCTGAGCGTAATTTTGCTATATTACGCACTGGTAAGACGGAGATAACAAATACTAGTGTTACGTCCTCTTAATTACCTTGTGTAATTACCAACACTATTGATATTTAATTACAAACATATACTTATAGACTATAGTGTAGTAATATATACTTAAAGTTTAGAAAATGCTCAATTTTTATAGCTAAGGATTTAAAATTTAAAATATTATATACCAACGCTTCTTATAATGTTTATAATGTAAATAAAATATTATTAGGAAGCGTTTTTACAAGTTTCACTTTATATAGATGAAATATTTAAAATATTATAAAATAAAAATTATAATAACTGTCAAACAATAATTAATGAAGGTAGGTTTCAAAGTAAAAAAATATATTCCGAATACGTCAAATAATTATTATAAAATAATTATCAAATAATACCTAGTCAAATAATTTAGGTTGGTTCTTACAGATAAAAACAAAATATTAAAATATTTTGAATAATCGTTTACGTCCAATAATATGTTAAATAATACAAATAATTAAATAATTATCAAACAATGGTTAACTCACTATAAATAATTAGATTGTCTCCTAATATTGTGGCTTAACAAATTGAACAAATTTGGAATACTTATTTTGCCACTCACAAACTAGGAGAAGTTCAATAATTTGCATGTTTGTGTGGGTAATATTGTAGTCTGGGAATTTTTTTTCCGGGGATTTGAATTCCACAAGGCCTGATTTAATAAATTAGGGCCAAGTGCATAATTTCCTTTGGGACCCCCCAAGTCAAAAAATGGTCTAGAAAATTAAGGACGTTGAAAAGATAATACTAATTAAATAACGTAATAAAATTATAATGTATTAAAATATTAAACATAATTTAGAATTTTATTATATGAATTTAAAATTAAAATAATTAATTGTCAATCTTCCATAAAATTATAAAAATGGTAAATGAATTATGAATTATTAACAATTTATTTTATTTTTAATAATTTAAAAAAAATAACAATAAAAAAAATTTGAAAAAAAAGTTTAAAAAAGAAAAATAATAATACAAATAATACAAAAATAAATAATTTGAAAAAAATAAAAAAATTCACCATAGAAAAAACCCCTCATAAAAATAATATTTTGCAGTTAATTTATTTACTTGAAAAAATTAGTAATTTTTAAGATAATATAATCAGTTACAACTTATTGAGTAACTTGCCTTTTTCTCTATTCCTCCTATATGTACAGAATTATCTCTTATAGTTTAATATTATTTAGATATTAGATATACTTATAGCATGTATATACTAATGTTACAGACTACCATTACGCATTAGGTGTAGTATTTTTTTCTTTGTAATTTAAATAACTGTATGTAATGAATATTGATATCATATAGTATTACAATAATCTAGGTGTACCTATCAATTAAATTAATTAATAATAAACATTTATTAAGTATTGTTAATCCCATTTATAAAAGCGCTGATACCTTTGTATCATTGAACAGTGCAGTAACCTCAATAGCTCAATGCAAGTCGTCCGTAATTATAAATAAATGTCTTAAAAAAATGTTTTTGAATTTTAAATCATGTCATTCCACAAGGACAAGGTGGTATAATATTGTCTGTCCAGTATTTATAATATTTATGCCTCTGAACAATCTAGGACGCCAAGTCGGATCATAATATTAATTTGATCAGTTCATTAAATTGAGGTACAAAAATCAATTTTTTCTTCACAGGAAATACTGCAAGAACAGTGCACTCAGAAAATTAAATAATGTCTCCACATTCAAAATTTAACAGTATCAGTATAATGCTTATTAATTATTTTCTTACCAAAATTAATAACTATTGAAGAATTATTTTGCTACTATGCTATCATAATCATCACGGACTAAGATATAAAAATATATCTTAGTCCATGGTAATCATTTAACTTTCATCCAAATTCTCTAATCAACCACTTAATAACACCTTCTACACCTGAGAATTTTTATAATAATTTAAATAAATATTATGTGCCTCAATTATGAACGGTGGGGCTTATAAATTCTTAAATGCTGATTAAATGCATACAAATTAAAAAAAAAAAAATCAAGTGTCTTTAACAAGTGTTTTTATTCTAAAAATATTCACGGATATAAATTATTTATTTTTCTTATATTAAGGTATAGATTGTATGAATAAAATAAAAGAAAAAATAATCAATAATCATGTCTTAGAGTTAAGACTTATATATTGTAACATCTAATGTCAGACAATGTCACAATTGTAACTGAATACTTATCATGAACTACTCATATTGAGTACTTACAATGTACAATAACAGACATTTCAACTGGCACAATCTTTTTATTTAACCATAAAAAGTAGTTGATTCAATCAAAAATTAGTTACAAAAATTGTTTTATTTTAAATATAACAGAACATTAAATAGATGGGAACATAATAAATTAAAGTTATTATTTTTATATATCTTGTAGTTTGTACTAATTTTGATATGGGATCAACAAGAGTAAAGGTCGAGTAGAGTGATTACAATTGTAGTACTTTTGTAAAAAGTTTGGCTACAATAAATACTACAAAATATTTAGATAAATTATTTATTTATTTTGTATTTTCTGATATCATGTGTATAAGCTTTACAGAAGTGCAATAACGCCTCATTAGAATTTAGTAGCTTAACAATAGATCACTGAAATTAAAATTATATAAACTTATATTCCTTTATAAGTATAAGATAAATGATAACAAAATGTTTTTATACAATTACGGAACTAGGTATGCGAATTTTAAAATTAATAACTATCATATTTTATATAATGAAAAAAAATTTAATACAAAGAGATTTTGGATTAAATAAAATAAAAACAGATGGGACTATATTATTGTAACAAATTTAAGATTTTAACTCTTTAATCCAAAAAAAAAAATGAATCGGCTGATTGTGTTTAAAGCAATTATTTGTATTTTATTAACTAATTTTACAAATTTAAAAATATACTTATCTTAATTATTTATTATTTATTTTTAAAAAATTATTATACACAGTACTTCCTAGGCGGAGGCATAATTGGTATGAACTCAGTAAAATGATCTTGAGCAAATGCATCATTGTCTATTTTACCATATACTTCAGTTTGCATGAGTATCTTCAATTGTGGCTCATTCTTAGTGTTATTATTATTGTTCTTTGTGGAAACAAAACTAAATGACTCCAGTTCGCTTTTTTTATTCTCAGGCGTTTTCAAAGACCTGATAGACATATCCCAGTAACTATTTGGGTCTATCTGTATAGAGTTATCAAAATGAGAAACTTTTGATTTTTCACATTTTTTAAATGTTGATATCTGAAGCACATACAAAAAAAAAATGTACAGAATGACTTTAAATTAAAATTCATATACTTACTATATCATCTTGTACTTGGTCCTCAAATCTTAAAATATCTTCTTTCTGCCTTTGTGCTTTTAACAATAGGTCATCAACAGTCCGTTTCTAAAACCATAAACAGTGTATTCATAATTAATATACTAAGCAGTTAATTGAGTATTTTTTATGGTACCATTCATGCAGTCCTGACACTAAGATTTTTGAAGTCCTACTAAAGTACTAACTAAGTATGAGACCCTGTGCCAGAGGTTCTCAACCAGGGTGTCGCGAACTTGAGTGAAACCTCTAAATACCGGACACTCTTGGTCGCTGAAATTTGTAAGCAATTTAGAGAGTTCAGATGATAGAAAATTTAAAGTTGGTTCATAAGAAAGAGTCTGCTATTAGGAGGTGTCCATTAGGGGTGGTTATACTGTAATAAGTTTTGACATTTTGTTATCATAATTGGCCACTGTAAAGAAAGTGTTGAATTATGAAAAACAATTTTGAATGGAAATGGCGTGTAGCTCCTCAGCTTCTATTTCTAAGGACATATTATTTTTTTCACGCCAATAGGTACGGACCAATTTTATCAAAATTTAAGATTTAAACCCTTAATACATTTAAAAAAAAACTTTTTACGGCAATTTTGATATTTTTTAATTGCATTATGAACAATTTATAAGGCATTTTATATAAGATTTTTAAGCTTTTAGACCAAGAAACAAATTGTTATCAGCATTAATAGAAAAAAAAAAAAACAAAAAATACCAAAATTGAAAATCCCACTAAATAGCATAATAATTTCAAAACGATATCATTGCAATGCAAATATAATTGAATAAAAATGTCAAGTGTCTATGATTATTGATTTCTGAATAGCAACAACCAACAAAATAGGTTTCAAAAAAACTTAAACATTCCTAATTATTTTTTTTAAGTGTGGTAAGATCTGGCAACTGACTAGACCCTAATTGGCAATATTTGTCAGCACAATAAATTAAAAAATAAACATAGCATGTATTAAAATAATATAAATATACACAATATCATATTGGAATTAGTAAAAGCTGGTGTCATGACTAATATAAAAATATATTTGTAAATATCAGTTGTAACTTACATGTATCAAACCAGGATCGGCAGTAATATGCTTAGTTAGGTAATAATCACATCTAATTTCTTCAAATGATACATCAATCAAGTTTAAACTACCAACTGGTTGAATAGGATATTGATGTCCAATAGGGTGGAAACATGTGAATGGCCAAATATTAGACATTAATAGTTGTTGTATGTGGCTTTGGTATGTTTTACTGAAAAATAATGATACATCATGATATTTATAATACTTGTTGAAAAACCTGGCTTTGATCATAAAAAAAAAGAAATAAAATATTCATGAAATAATTACAACATTTCACTGAAAAACTAGTACACTGATATACAATGTGTGCCCTTCTCTTACCAGTTCAAAAATAGAAAAAGGGCAATGCTGTGACACGTGATACAAATTTTAACAATTAGTTTTGTTAAAAAAATTGTGAAAACTAATTATGTGCCCTCACTTGTAGCCAAAAATTTAAAAAAAACACTGTAAGGAGACTATGACATTTGATGTTTAGATAAACTTGAAAAAAAAATCATGAAAAAGTTCAACTGTGTTGTCAGACCGTACATAAAAAAGGTCTTTTATTTTGTATAATATATTGTAAGGATAAGGATTTATTTATAACTTATTTGTTAAATATTTAACTAATATTTATTCTTATCTAATATGAAGTACTACTTACATTTCATTTTCATAATGTTTCAAAATATTTTGTTTATCATCAAATCTATTATTTAGATTAGGGTCGTGGGGTCTATAACTATGTTTTTGACCATCCGAATTCTTGTACCTAAAAGATTTGATAATAAAAGTGTTATAATTATAATCATAAAAAATTAAGATACATTAATTAATAAAGACAGCCAATATGTGATGTATATGGTACATTTAAAATTCAAGTACCTATTTGAGCTGGTGTGTACTTTGTTTGTATCATATTCATAATCATTCTTTCTACCCTGACTGTTGTCTTCTTTATAATAATTCTTTACATTGCGTTGCCTTTGAGCTTGATTGCCATAATGACTACTTGAATCGTAATCTTCTTTATAATCATTTCTTTGATTGTGATGATTATTCCTGCTTTTATAATCATTTTTATAACTGTAGTTGGAGTTTTTACTTTTAGATTCATAGTTTTCCTCTCCGTACTCATAATAATCATTATAATCTCTATCAGTATCATAATAACTTTCTCTTGTATTTCCTAAAAATTAAAATATATAGATAATATTAAGAACAATGCAAGAAAATTTAATAAAATATAGGTAAGTAATATATGACAGTATTACGTTCAATTACTAATCAATTTCTAATGAAATTGTTTTAGTATTTTTAACCGAACAATGCTTTGGATATTAATTAGTATAGATATAAACTCACTACTACTCCTTGATTGATTTTCATAGTCATATTGTGTGTTTGAGCGATGTGGTTGATCATGCGAGAACCGACAAGAATCGCCGTAAAAGCAGTTTCCTTGCAAATAAAATTTGCATCTTACTGTAGACATATTTAAGGCTGGATCCAATTCTCTTACTAATGAAATGAACGACCAAGAAGTTCAAAACGCCTATTTCTGTATGATTACGATGAATAGTACCAACTACCTCGTCAAAAAACTAAAAGAGTAATACCATTTTGATATTTGTTCGGAGCACGATTGTGAAGAAGTAAAGAACTCGTACAATGCATTAATTGATTGTTACTCTTTATAATCGTGGTTAGGATTTTCGGAGACCGTTAATCGTTATCAGTTTAAAACTAACAACCGTCTGATAACGATTGATGGCAACACACAGTCTCACCGATGCGTATCGATATGTATCATGAACCAGTTGTACTACACAGGACTGGACACTGTCGGCTGGGGGTGGGTAGGAGGACATCCGCAAGAGTGTACGGCCATCATAGATAATAAAGATATGGATAGGCTATTCATCAATATCAGCGTTCCAAAAGATAAGAATTTGAGGTCTTATTAGTTTTATATTCCAAGACGACGCATTTTCTTTTCTAATAAATAATGTTAGCGCACAATAATAATTATTATTTATTAAAATATATTATTATTATTTATTATTTAATAATAATAATAATTTTATTTATTTATAGGTAGTAGGTATTAATAATATTTAAAATTATTTTCTCTTTAACATAAATATGTTTTTATGCTGGATAACTGTTTTTTTGTTTTTCGTGAGGTTTTTGTTGTCAAGTTTACTATTATTAATAAAAATATATATTATGTGATTCATGTATTCTCATTTCTCATTGTAGACGAAAAATATCAGTATAGGCTTCTACTTTTTTTTGTATAAAACCTATTATATTTTCTTTAAAAAATAGATTGTATTTCTTTGTAACCAAGTTCTAGAAAATATATTACATTATACATTATTATATTAATTATTAAAACCACTTTTTGGTATAACCAGTCTAGAATGTGTAAATAAAATGCAATAAGGATTGTATTGATACAAATTAAAATCATTAAATACATTTTAAGCAATATAATTAAATATATTAAAAAATAACAATTAAAATATAATTATATGTAGGTCCTAATTTATTACTGTGAACATTAAAAAAATTATTTTTTCTAGTTTTAAAATAGGTACCTGTATAGTTAAAAATTAAAGCTTACTCATGCCTAAAATGAACCAATTTTGTTAATTTTGATCTGGATTTTGTACTTTCATTTAGTTTTCTAATTTCATGATGCACTCTTATATCAAAATACTTTAAACAAATAAGATTGATGAGCTGATCTTTATGATTGTGTTGATCTAAAATTGAAAAGTCATCACTAATATTGCTGCATATTAATATAGAAGGATCAAACTTGGAGTAAAGAGCAGTTTTAACTTTGTTAAGTAATAAAAGTTGTTCTTTTTTGTGGAATTGAGATTTAACTATACTTAAATTACATCTTAAAACTCTCTCTGCTTCTGCACATATTATTTTAACTCCATTACTGGGTTTTGTTAGACCACCTCTATCTTTACAACTTATTAATGATTTATTTTCTTCTTGATCTTTACTTAAAATTTTTTTACAATTATAACACGGTATTATTTGAATGATTTTTCTGGCTACAAAACCACCTATATATTGGGAAACGTCTTCAATATATGTATTTATTTCAATAATATTTTTTAAATAATCATGATCAATTAATGTTCTATTGGGAACCCAATCAAATGATAAATCTACATTTCCATTAATTTTTCTGCTACTTAACTTAGTCGATACTGGAAGTATTTGTGTGCCATCTAATATTGAACAATTCCCAAAGTTAGATCCTGTTAACTGATTATGGACTAATATCCTTTTGTAAGCAGCTTGAAACTGTCTACAAGTAGGATTATCATTATAGCCACCTCTTCCACGTATCGCACTGAAAGTAGTCTCAATGTGATCTTGAGACAGTTTATAGGTAATTAAATATTCAGTATCACCTTTAACATACAAATATTCAAAAAGGTTAATACTATTCTTTAAGGCTAATATAAATCCAATAAATCCCGTTTTCCTATTCGATACAACTACCTTTGTTCTAATCCATTCATTAGTACTTTTATTTCTTTCTAAAAATTGAAGACCATTTATGTATTGTTCAAACTGTTCAATAAATATTTTATAATTATCAATGGTGTTTTTACTGATGGGCTTGTTGTATGGTTTTAAAGAAAATTTAGAACGACTATTCAATATATCAAAAGCATTATTTATAAATGAAATAAATTCTGAAGTAGGCGAGACGTTTTTAAAATTGGTATTAGTTTTTTCTAGGTATGACAAGGCATCAGCAACACTTTGACTGAGTAACTGTGCAGCCAATCGTACATTCATTTTTTCATTACCAAAAAATAAATGACGTTTTGTTAACTTTGTACCTAATCTCAATCCTTGACTAGATTCTAGGTCAAATAGTTGACAAATGTAGTTCCAATCAATTATTTCATTTTTTGCATTGCAAATTAATTTTTTATCTGCCCAAGCATTCCGGATCAATTTCAACATGTGGGCAGCATCGTAAAAAATAAAAACCTACAAAAGCAGAAATTTTTAGGAAATCATTTTTATTAACATTTTATAATATATAATATTTAATATTTAAAATTATTTAACCTTATTTTTAGAATCTTTCATTTCAATAAATGGCCTTGTATTTTCTAAAGTCAAATTTGCACCTAAGCTTGTACACATTGTCCCATTTACATATGCTCCATCAAACGTTACTGACTTAACATTAGCGCCAGTTTCATGTAAAAGTTCCAAACATGTTAACAGTAAATTTGATCTTTCTAAACCAGTTAAGGAATCAATAAGAAAATACCCAAGTGGTATTTTCCAATAACCATTAATTCCAACTGCTAAGAATACCAAGGCATTTTTAGCTAAAGGAATATCATCTCCATCATAAGTTTCATTCGCACCCATATTTATGTGGCCATATATATTATTCTGAGTATCCATTTCTACTTGACGCCGTACACACATTTCGTCAATGACAATATTGCAGTAAACAGGCTCAGATTTTACTTTAATAGCAATGGTATTAAATGATTCCTTGGTAAAACCTGGTTTCCCATCAACAACCATATACCAGCGTCTCAAAGTACGAGGGTGGGGTAAAATTTTACCAAAACTTTTTCTAACATATAAATATGCCCGAGGAGAATAATATTGTAATGTAATAGCAAATTTTTTGATTTCATCGTTATAAGGTCCTTGTGATTTACCTTTTGATAAAACATTATTGATTATATTTTCCAACACATCAGAACCAAGAGCCTATTATAGAAGAAGACAAAACTCATATAATTATTTAAAATAAACCAATTGGTACATTAATATTGATGCACGAATGTACTACACAGTAGGTCAATAAAAAATAAAATAAAACTGTACAAATGTACAATAGTATTTATTATTAATATTAGATAAGTTTTATAGATTCAATGATATACTGCAGTGTTATAACAAAAAACAAAATATACCACGTAACATTAAGTAGGTTAGGTAAGTACACATAAACATAAACAACAAAATATGTTAATTTTTTTTCTTTTATTATTTAAATACACATAAATACTACAATAATAACATGTATTAATGTAACTCCCTACCACCACTACCACCATAAGCAATGCTTAAAGGTGGTAGGTATTACTGTTAAACCAATAAATATTTTCTAAATAAAAATAATAAAACACAAATATAAGATACTATATTATAATACCACAATTTAAAATCACAGTTTTTGAAGAATTTTACACTATTCTACATTGGTAATTTGAACTTCCCAAGTTTTATTAAATGTGAATATTATTCATAATATATACCTTCAAATTATATGCTGCTGAATCAGAAATTAAATTTTTAGCAGATAATGTATAAATTATATCTTTAAGTGACATGACTTTTTGCGATAACCGTTTGTTTTTCTGTTTTAATAATTTATTTTTTTTCCTTAAATTAGCAACAGTGAGTTTTGAAAGATTCAGATTTCTTTTAGCTCTTCTGGGTGTTAAAAAATCACTAGCTTTTAAATCACCAAACCGTGTTGTATTTATTGTTTTAAATTTTTTTATTGGACTGGTTAATTGTAAATTATCAGTAGAAAATAATGACCTAGGAAAGAAATTGTTATTTATTTATATAATGAATCTCTGAAATATAAATCATTACATAATTTAACTAGAAAGTACAATTATAAAATATTTTATATTTTATTATACTGTAGATGACCTGGGAAAGAAATTATTATTTATTAATATTATACA